TAAAAAGTTATAACAAAGAGCCTGGCATGCCTTTAATTCCAGCATTCGAGAGGCAGAGGCAAGTGGATCTCTGTGAGATCAAGGTCAGCCTGGTCTACATAGTGAGTTCCAGGTCAGCTGTGGCTATAGGGAGACCCTGTCTCAAAAAACAAAAAATATATTAAAAAAAATAAAGTTATATATGAGGCTAGAGAGATGGCTCAGTTGTTAAGATCACTGGCTGCTCTTGAGAGGACCAAGGATTGATTCCCAGTACTCACATGGTGGCTAACAACAGCTGAAACCCCAGTTCCAGGGGATTCAACTCCCTCTTCTGGTCTTCATGGGTTTGCATGCACGTGGTACATTTGCATACATGCAGGCAAAACACTCATGCACATAAAATTAAAACAAATTTTAAAATTTTAAGTTATATCTAACACAAATTCAGTTGAAAGCTCCTATTCCTACTGTATTAGTCTCTGCTAAAACTGGTATCAGATTAGTTCATAGGAACTAGTTCATAACTTCATAGGAAATAAGTCTTGAAAGTCATCAAAATTGGCTAGGCTTTTACTTGTTATATTCAGATATTTTCACTTTATCAGCAGACATACTGTGTCCACACAAACCTGTAGTTTGTAACTCCTTGTAAGCTAGACTTTCTTAGGAAAAGAAATTCTAACTACAGTCTTGCACACCAAAATAAATACAAATTGTATGAGTTACATTTTCATCAGAAAAGTAAATCCAAGAGGAGGTTAAGTTTTCAATAGGAGATTGTTGCAAAGATTTGACCACATGTAATCAAAGGAACTAGAAAAATAAGTTTGCTTTCTGCTGATATTTTCATCACTGTTGCTGGGCTGAGGGCAGTAAGTAGAACATTCAAGGAGGAAAGATATTTGTGAAGGACAGCAATGACCTGTGTTGGCATCCTACAGCCTCCCATCCTCTGACTTCATTAATGGCAGTAACCTACAGAAGGAGAAAATGCACTTCATCCAGGAATAGAAACCATAAGAAGACTGGTGGGAACGAGTGATGTCCTGTTGCCCATGCCGAGATGAGATGGCAGATCCAATGCCATTCGAGTGACCTGCCCAGTCATCTAAATACAAAAATAATGTGACTGCTGCTTATGTTCCATCTTCCAAATTATGTGCAAATGTCTCTTGTGACCCACAACCAACACAAAGCTGTTTTGTGAAGAAAGTTCTGGGAAATGTTGTCCAGCTGAAATAAGTTGACACTACAATACATGCACAGAACTTTTCCTTGAGAAGAGTTAATTTTTTCTTAAAGCCACATCTAAGACAAATCTTGATTTATTTAGTTAAATTGTCATATCAATTCCTATCTAGTAGCCAGATAACTAAGGAAATGGGCTTCCATTCATGCACAGCTGAATGAGTACCTTGTTTTGTACCTCATGAAAATATCTGGTAGAGAATTGAGGAAAATGGAAAATGGATGGGAAGGCCTCATACAATTCTAAGAAAACACAAAACTCTTCAATAATATCAATAATCACCTGAAACCTTCCTATGCAATAATACTCAAGATGTAAGTGTTTTATCTAGAACTTCAGGAGATCAATGCTGGGGGTCTAGGCTTTCAAAAAACAATTCAGCCATTGTCTCTGTGCGACTAGGTAAGCGCATTACTTTCTGAAGCTGAAATCTGAAGGTATACCCCTTGATTATACATGACTTGGCATAGAATGGCAGCCATGAGCAAATGATCTTAGAGGCCTTAGAAGCTCTTTAAGGAGAAAATCATCAGTAGGGTTTCATTTAGGGACAGAACTCTAACCGCCCAGGAATGTTTCTCTTGTCATTACAATGCATTCTTTCACATTCAACTCTCTCCAAACACTCCACACAATTGATGGGCCAAATTGCAACTCTCAATTGATTAATAAAAAACAGCTTAATTTTTATAAAAATGTTAATCCAAGCACAACTTTAATGTAATTTTGGCATAAAATTAAGTGCTAGCTATAGTCTTCTGAGTATTTAATTAAATTCTGAGTTTGCCAAATTCTATTAAATTCCATGTTTGATGCCAGTAAAAAAAAAAAGTAGACTGTCAGCCATTTACAAATATGTGGCTATTTAAAGTAATGAGACATCATAATAATCTTTTATTTCAGTGGATGGGAGACCACTGAGAAGCCAAAGAAAAATTCTGTTAAATTTCATCACATACATTGAAATATCTACGTGTCTGTGAATTATCATGATTTCATTAGTTGATGGCATAGCTGCCTTTTGTGTACTCTGAGTTGAAGCATTTATAATTTTCAGCTTAAAAGATAATTTTTGTTGCTTTGGAATCTGATCAAGCTATTTAATTTGCTGTGGTGATCCGAATGTAAAATGCCCCCCATTTGGCTCAAATGTTTGAACACTTGGTTCCCAGTTAACGTGCTGTTTGGGTGGTTATGGAACTTTCAGAATGTGAAGTCTTACTGGAGAAAGTATGGCATAGGGGAGGGGGTGCTTTGACTGTTTATAGCCTTGACCCATTACAGTTCATTCCCTCTGCTTCCTGCATATAAAGATTCAATCCTCAGCTTCCTGGTCCTGTCACCATGCTTGCCTGCTGCAGTGTCTCTGCCACCATTATGGCTCTAGCCCTCTGGAACATTAAACCAAAATAAATTTCCTTCCTTAAGTTGCTTCTTGTCATGGTATTTTACCACAGCAACAGAAAAGTAACCAATATACTTCCTAGTTTTAGAATATAAGTATAGGAATCGATGCTCAATGTAGGAGGCTAAATAAATCAATGATTTTTTGTTCTGTTTCTGGTAGAAAAAGAATCCTGAAAAAAAAATATAATAAATCCTCAAAAAGGGTATGAAGACTGTAAAAGTAATTGCATATATGTGTAAAAATGCTATGATACAACTCATTTATTTGAGCAATACTAATACAAAAGAACAAATACAAATCATTGCATAACACAAGCAAGTACATGTGAGCAGACTGCCAAACACCAGTATGCTGATCATGAAACTACAAAGCATTGCTTTATTTTTGCCAGTCTTCTGTGCAAAAAGTGCATGCATGCATGTCAAAAACAGAGCAGTCTTCCAGGCAAAATCATATTAAAAAGGAAACATGTCATATGAATAATGCTAGACGTGTTCAAAATTCATGCCCAAAAAGCATTAAAAGTTTTGAGACAGACAATAATAAAAACCTGAAACAGCCGGGCATGGTGGCGCACTTTATTTTTGCCAGTCTTCTGTGCAAAAAGTGCATGCATGCATGTCAAAAACAGAGCAGTCTTCCAGGCAAAATCATATTAAAAAGGAAACATGTCATATGAATAATGCTAGACGTGTTCAAAATTCATGCCCAAAAAGCATTAAAAGTTTTGAGACAGACAATAATAAAAACCTGAAACAGCCGGGCATGGTGGCGCACGCCATATAAATTTAAGCAAAGAGGATTTTTGACATATACTAAATACTTGAATTAAGTATGGAACCTTCATTTAAAGATGTAGATATATCATAAAAATCAGTTTTGAAAGCAATGTCAGCCACAGAGTGCAGACTGGGCAATCTGGTCAGGCAACATGTCGCACCTGCAGAAGCAACTTCTGCATAAGATGATGGAGAAGCCAAACCTCAAGCTGCAGCAGCGGAACCTCAAGCTACAGGCAGAAGCATCAGATGTGAGGTTGCCACAGCCTCAAAGTGGAGATGTGCCTGAAGAAACAACTAAAGTTGGAAAAGTTAAAAAAAAAAAAAAAAAAAACCTGAAACAAATGGGCACCCAACCCCAAAGACAGTCATCTGAAAGAAAAGCCCAGGAAAATGATGCTGTGGAAGGTTCAGCTCCAAGAAGATCTAAGGCTTATGTGCTGCAGGTAATCCTGTGGATTTATTTTTCCAGCTGCAGTCTCCTTTGGGGAACTGGAACACAAAACTCCTCATAAACTGCCCAGATCTAAGCAGTCTTTCTGCTTATCTCAGCGGACAAGCATCTCTCCCAACAGGACTTGCCTTTGACACACTTGACAGGACATGGCATGCTCATGTTGATTTAAATCACAGCTCGTATTCTAGACAGAGGGAGTGAAATTCATATGGAGTTAAGTGCCACTAGACTACATGATGCTTTTATGACTCCATTTTGCTCTTGGAACTGACACAGTGCTACCTGCTGCCCTTGGCTTTGATCGGGTGCTCAATTCTGTGGAGTTCATTTCAGATCCCCTGGGGATATTGGAAGTCTCCAAACACTGTCACTTCTTCCCAACAGAGGCTTTTACTGTATTCTTGCCCACTCCCTTCTGCCCCAGGGACAAAATTCATTGCCAAGTTCCCTCCCTGACACTCCTTCTGACCTCTGCTGCCAGAATACCTCATAGAACCTTTTCTATGGGTTTTTGGAAAAATAAAAACAAAAATACAGGGAGCCATGCCACAAACCTCCCCTGAAGCCAGGAAGGCCAGAGCTCCCTGTTTAAATGGAATAGAGGAAAGAGAAAATATGCACAGCAAAAATTCTGAATTGTACCCACAACACAGTAGACACTGTGCAGGAACCTGCTCCCATTTGCTTTTTAGGATCATCACTTTGGTTGTAGAGTGGAAACTAGGGAGGAACAAAAACAAGTATGAGGAGGTCAGTGAGCTTGTCATTCAGTGACCCGGGCAAGAGCAGACGCTTGGCAAGTGCCTCAGATGGGCAGAGGCAATGGGGATGAAGAAATAGAAAATATGCTCCAAAGGGAAAATCCAAAAGTAGGATTATGACTGGTTAGTGTCTGCCCCAAGCCATCCCCCTACCCCCGCCATCAGAAAGCATCATTTTTTTTTTTTTTTGGCTAAATAAAAACAAATCCAGGAGTAATAAGGAGAGAATTTATTCTGTGTATTGCAGTAAGGAAAGGAAAGGAGAAGAGTCTATTGCAACCAGAGGATGGGAACTTACACAGTAAGGAGTGCTATGAGTTTAAGACCTACAGGAATCTCAAGAGAAGGGGTTATTTTATAGTGTCATTAATGAGGCTGGAAGAAGCAGACATGGGGAAGTAGGATGGGTAGCGTGATTACACAGAAGACCAGAGAATATTTTAGCCTGAGGCTTGCTTATTCTCAAAGGGGGTAGAATGTGGGACAAAATGAGGCAGAGTTCATGGGCCTTGGAGAAAGAGAGAAGGCAAGGACCATGGTACAGTTAACAAACATTTTGATCCCCTTGATTGGTGGAGACAAAAGCTCAGCTAATTACATACGAAAAAAAATGAGAATTTGGAGACTGTATGTCTGGACTTCCCATAGGTAAATAAGGAAAGCACTTATGAAACTTAGTTCTAAGTCACAGGAAAAAAAGATCATTTTTGCATCAAGTGTGGTACAAAATACAGAATGGAAGGATTTCTCAACCTTCACTGTTTCCAGGATCAGTTGAAATTCAGCATCATCAATATCTTTATCATGTTTCATCCTGCCATATCTAAACACTGAGGGACAGGGACAAGGGTAAACACCCAGCTGAAATAGTAGGCCCAGGTCATAGGACATTGGGAGAAACCACCAACAACTAACAGTCTACTGACTGGCTCATGGAATGTCTCTCCTGACATCCTTTTTTATAAATCTTTTTTTTTAATTGAATTTTTTGTGTATTTCATACAGAGCATCTCAAACAATCTTAATCATCTTTATACCCCCGTCCCCACTGTCACCCTCCCATAGTTCTCCCCCTCTCCCCCATTAGAGCCCATATACTCTGTCATCCCTGTTTAAGGCCCATGGTGTTGTCAGTGTTCCCAGCCGTTCCCCACTGCAAGTCTATCCACTGAGTCTAGTCAGCCTATCTAGAGTCCTTTATTTTAGGAAGATCAGCTCTAGGCCTAAGTGATACATCTACAATGCAACCTCTACACCTAAGACTCATGGAACATAGAACAGGAATAAAGAAGACACTAATGAATCTCTCAGTTCTCAATAATGAAGCTCCCTCATGCAGCAGAGGGTGAGGAACACAAAATGTCACAAATGGCCAAAGTGTAGAGGCCAAGAGTCTGCTGAGTGATGGTCATTGGACAGGACCCCATTATTATCTCTCTCCCCACCTTAACTTTGAAGGAACTAGGGCACAAAGCTGGTAAGGGCAAAGGTAGGGATGGAACCACTCTCACCCCAGACCTCATCCCTCCTTTTCATTGTTTTTAATATTTTATTATTATTTTTATTTTATGTGTACAAGTGTATTGCCTGCATGTATGTGAGTGCACCTGTGTCATGCAATGCTGCGGAGGTCAGAAGAAGGCTTCGGGTTCCTCTGGAACTGGAGTTAAGGATGGCTTGTAGCCACCATGTGCGTGCTAGGAATCAAGCCCGGGTCCTCTGTAAGAGCAGTCAGTGCTCTTGTTACTGCTGAGCCATCTCTCCATCCCATGGACCCCATTATTAAACTTCACCCTCTCAAGGCTCAGGGACCATCACAGAAGAGGGGGGTGGAAAGATTGTAAGAGCCAGGGAAGAGATGCATGACCACATGGAAACAGAGTCCTACAAACTCCTGGGAACCTGACATCCTTTTTAAAATGCACATATTCTTGGAAAACCATTAAGCTAAAAATCATGGGTAGTCTTTCATTGAAACTTCAGAATGGGAAGAAACTAATGTTTATAAAAATCACTTTGAGCCTAAGCCCATTAATGTTGTTCATTCATTTACTTTTTCTGGCAAACATATATAATGGTCCTTTATCAAGTGCCAAGTGCCCTCTAGACTGAAAGAATTCAGCCATGCAAGCAAACTAAAAGCTCTAACCTCTCAGAGCCTTCAGCCTAATGGGAGAGTCCATGAAACAAGTGTATAAACATATAAGTTATATAATCACTTTTCAGAATGAGGGTAATGAATAAAATTAAATTAGGCTAAAAAGTGATGGATGGATGAATGACCCCTATTTTATAGGAAAGGCCCAAAAGACCACCCCAAGGAGCCATGTGAACAGAGAGGTGACTAGTGGGAAAGAGGAAACCATACAAAGACAGAAGGAAGATTTTCCAAGCAAAATAAAAGGCTCTGGGGCAGCAATGGGTTCAGCAGTTTGAGGAATTCAGGGAAGACCAGTGTGGGCTCGTGCGGAGGAAAATAGGGATGTGAAGGGGGGAAAGCAATAGAACAAGAGCCAACTGTCCTTCCTTCCTCTCTCTCTTCTTTTCTTTCATTTTTTTCTTTCCTTCCTTTCTCTCATCCTTTCCTTAGTTCTACTTTCTTTTGCTGCCTTTTTTCTCTATTTTCACTGTCTTTCTTTTAACCCTCACAATTACCTATTTTACTTGGGGTAGATAACATGAGATTCAGAGGGCTTAGTGGACTAAGGCCACACAGACAATAAGGAACTACAATCTGATTGCAGACCAGTATGACCACCTATTAGAAGGAACACCAAAAATGTAGGTGAGCACATTTGTAGAGCACATTGTTGAGTGATTCTGTTGACCTTATCCTTGCCTAAAATTGGTTGGCCTTTGTCTTGGAATTCTTGGGTAATCAACATGCATTGTAATTTGACTAACTTGGGCTCTATTTATTTCAAACTCTAAGGTATTTTTAAGGAGCAAGACATAATAGTGAAACTAGCTACTAAACCCTCATTGCTTCTGGCTCCATGGGCTGTCCGGAGGCACAGCAGTTAGATGAATAGCTCCCCCTCCTGTCTTCAACATCCTTCCTGTCTAGGTTTCCAAACTTCTAAAAGCAAAATGACAGTTCTATAATCAATTATGGCAAGGTCAAGTAAAGTTATATTGTGTGAGTTTTCTATTTTGTTTTGTTTTGTTTGTCTTTTTGAGACAGAGTCTCCCTGTAGCCCCAGATGGGCTGGAACTCACTGTGTACACCAGGCTGGCCTGGAACTCACAGAGATCTATCTGCCTGCCTCTCAAGGGCTGGGATTAAAGGTGTGTGCTACCATGCCTGGCTTAAATTGTGTGAGATTTAAGCAAACCAAAATGTGGGTGCTGGAAAGATGGCTCAGCAGTTAAGAGCACTGGCTGCTCTTCCAGAAGACCCAGGTTTGGTTCCCAGCATCTACATGGCAGATAACAACCATCTATAACTGCAGTTCTAGATGATCTAATGCCCTCTTCTGACCTCTGTGGACATTGAACACATGTGGTATACTTATATACATGCAGGCAATAAACTCATACACATAAAATAAAAGTAATAAATAAAATATTTTTTAAAATATTAAAAGATGTATACTTTCCCAAAGAGAACTCATAAAGACTGAATACCCCAAGTTCGGTTTTGCTATCCTAACTCTAAATTAAGATTCCTTGATACTGACCTCAATCCAATCAACCTCCTCATAAGAAAATGTAGATGAGATTTTTTTGTTTTTAGTAACCACTGATCCAATCTTGGTTCCCACTCTTCACTCTGTTTGGTATAATCCTGACATGAGCCTTCTTTTTTTTTCCCCCTTTTATTGCTATGTGGCCTTGGGCAAGTTCCTGCCTGTGTTTATCCAGGTTTGCCTTCTAAGCTTCCTGCAGATGTCATCCCTGTATTAAATGAGTGGGATTCTAAAAAGCTCAACACCCATGAGGGTAAATAGACGTGAGCTGGAAGAGCCACCAAATCGCAATGAAGTCAGATCCCAGCACACATGCAGAGAGTGAGAAGGAAGCAATGGCAATGTTAGGCAGGTCCAGCAAGGCCATGGGACATCTTCAAACCAAAAGCCTCTGCCAGAGGAGTCCAGGGTCTCCCAGAAGAGGGGCTGCACCAAGAATTGAAGCCTGGGTACAAACAAGCATAGAGCAGGATACAGAGCAGAGCTGAAGTCAGGTACAGTTCTGAATAGCATATTCCTATGGCTCCCACACCAAACCC